TTAGGAATATAATATGTGGTACTAATTGATACTCATTAGGAACTAATTAATTTTAACAATATTAGGAATACGCATTCTTATTTGTTGGTTCTACCGGACGATTTTTTTTGGGCTTGATTCAATGGTTGAATCTTGTGGAGTTTTCTTTTTTCATTAATAATCTAATTTTCTAAGAACCGGGTTTGCTGCAATAGGAAGATTCTTTCGAGTAATGTTTCAATAATTCAATGACTAATTCTCATATATCAAGAATTAAAATGCAGCTTCTTAGAATGTAATAATCATGGCATATTAGTTATGAATGTTGATGGACAAGGATAACCCAGTCAAAATGGTCATCTACTCTATAGAATCCTATATCTACCCCGTTGTACTGACGTCTCTTGCTTATTTTGTGAGATAACCTCTAGTAGCCATATATTTACACATTCATCGTATCTCCCCTTAGGAAAATATTAATATATGTTTCCTTGATTGCTAATATGCATTTTTGATTTTGTTGGTTTTAGTTACTTTTTTGCCATATTTTATGCTTTGATCTTTGTTCCGATGCAGTGATAAAGAAAGATTATGCGATGCAAAATATGGCTATTTTCTGCATATAGTTTTCAATCTATTTTCGGCGTCTGAACTTTCACTACCCCTGTAGATGGTGTTATATACGGGGTTAGTATCTACAACTATGCAGTAGTCGCTGCACCTGACATCCGCCAATAGGGATATGACACACGCCACGTCCTTATCTACTAACAGCCTCATAATTATCGACTTGCCAACACCATTTCTGAAAAGTGAAAGACGTGTAATTTTTTTTCCTTCTGGAAAATAAATATCTCTAGAGATACATTCACAAAGTTCTTGTAGGGTGGAATCGAATGGAATTGAAACGTGCAAGGTAATGAACCCTTGATAATTGTTGTGCTCCTCCCAACTAAAACCGTAGCTAACAATGATCGCATAATGTTCCCGCATTGATTGATTTAATTCTTGAAAAAATGTAAAAATAAAATGGGTGGGGATTAATGATATATTGTCTAAGAATATTAAAGTGAATCATATATGTAGATTCGGTGGTTTAAATTTTGTGGAAATATTTTAGGAATTATATAGATTTTGTGGTTTAAATTTTGTGGAAAGATTTTAGGAATTATGTAGATTTTGTAGTTAAAGGTGGTTTCAATATTAAGTCTATAATTAGGGACCGATTTAAGGGAATGTGGGAGGCCTAAAACGCGGATGGGTAAAATGGAGAAAGATTGCAAGGGCAAACATGAAGTGTGTAGAGGGATAAATAAGGAATTATATACCTCCCCAAATTTTAGGAAATCAATTTTAGCCATGTCATGCAATTTAGAAAAACTTTGGCCATTTTGCTTAACGATAACCTGTGAGTAGCCATTCCTAACGATTTTCCTTTAATTATTATGTTTTGGTGTTTTCTTGAAAATTAAATTTGAATGGGGAGGGGGTCTCAAATCGGGCCAGGCCCACTATTGGCTTCTTAGGTGAGAAAGCCCATTAACTCTTTTCAAACCTTAAAAAGATAGTTATTGTTTGATAAAGATGAACAAAAATAACATTTCATTTGTGTCTTATTTTTTTTTCTGTGGAAGTTTAATTTTTCTGGAAGTTTTACTCAATAACATAATAAAATAATGTAACTTTAAACATGTCAACATTTTTTATATATTATATAATATAAAAGGAAAAATATTTAAGTGTCATCTTCGTGCTGACCACCAATAAAAATTTG